AGAATCTTCAAGAAGGATATGGTCAAAAAAAAAAAGGATATGGTCAATTGTACCCAACGTTACACAAGGATAGGCCATATAGGCACTTAAAACCTAACAGCAGTGAGAGAGCTCAGTGAGTGGAGACAGATGGAAGCCAGGTTGTAACAAGCAGTTAAAGGAATGGGAGGTAAGACCAGAAAGGCAGAAACATCAACCACACTTTCACGTGGTTCAGCTGCGAAGAGAAAGAGGGAAATGAGGCTCTCAGTAGAACTTGCTGTGGAGTAGAGGGAGTGATTTTTGTTTTAAGTGAGAGATTTAAATATATTTTTAATTTTTTTATTGAATTTATTAGGGTGACATTGGTTAATAAAAGTATCTAGGTTTCACTACACATATTTAAATGCAGGTGGAAATAAGCCATTAACGTAGGTGAGGTTGAAAACATTTGAGAGAGTGGAAAACTGCCGGTGCAACTAAGTTACTGAGGCTGCAAGTGGCCAGGTGGAAGCAGGTTGAGGCAATAACCTGAGACAGGAAGAGGGAGCAGAGCAAGGTTGGGTGTGGACACATAGCAGGCCATCTTGGGATTTGATATGAAAGGTATTTCCTATAATGGCTTCTATTTTCTGAGTGAAATAGGACATGAGATTATCTGCTGACAATGAAGAGGAAAGAGACAGGGGAAGAGCCTCGAGGCAGAAAAGAATATTTGCAATAATCACTTTGGAAAATGGCAGTGAAATCTCACCGGGAAAAGGGTGAATGACTACCATTCAGTACAGAGGGCTCCAATGAGATCAAAGCCCACGCAGTTAGTATGAAACTCAGCTGTGATTTTGTGATTTCCTCCAGTCTCGTTCAGTGGGCAGGAAAAGGAGCAGAAACATTGGTATTTGGGATTAATTCAAATTTGAAGATAGACGGGCAAAGGAAAGGGGAGTCTAAGGGTTAGGAAAGAGGTGATTGAAAAAATGAACAGTAATATCCACACGGGCGGCCGATGGAGTGGGGATGGACAAGGCCAGTAGAAACATCATATGAGGACCAAGGAATCTCAAAGAAGAGCAATTTGGGAGTGAGAAAGGACGTCTGGGATGATACAAGGTTAAGACTTCAGAGGCAAGAAGTTCTAGGGGATTAGATCACCCTGAATTTGACCATCTGTCCCAGATGCAGATTGAATGTCTGTCCAGCTTCTCTTGCTTTGGGGGACTTTCTGTCTGTCATTATGTACTTCTAGGTGAACAGCTTATCCTGGGGCCTCACCCCACCCTGCCCTCACTGGGTTGGCATGGGACGCAGACCAGTGAGTTCATCTCCTGGCTACCTACAGTGCGTGGTCCAGGAGTGGCTACATGACCAAACTGAGATCAGACTCTTCTTTGAGATTTCTCTCATGGATGTTGGAAGCAGAGTCTCCTTTTTCTCAGCTCCTGAGCTGGGAAGACCGTGTAGCTGCTTGTGAGCATCTTTCCTGGCAGCACAGAGGGCTGCTCTGCAGAAGGAGAAAATGAGACTAACGTACAGAGACAAGCCGACCAGGCAGAGGTGGAAGACGGACAGAAGCAAAAATCCAGAGAATTCTAAATCCCTGGATCTAACCATGCTGAATCTAGTCTATCCCTGCATCTTTCAAATGACTCTCCCCCCAATTCTCTCTTTGGCTTAAGGTAGTCTAAATTGGGTCTGTAACCTGCAGTCAAGGGTGTGAGTGGCTGAAACAAAACACAGAAAGGTACAAGAGTTGAGAAGGCCAAGAAACTAAAGATAAGGCAAAAGAACAACAATAAAACAAAAGGAAAAAATAATAAAGATAAGGCAAAGGAATAACCATATGGAGGCTGCGTAGGGGAAAGAGAAGCATGCAGACCCTGCTTGCTGATGAAAATTGGGATGTGCACTCATGTGGATAAATCACTGCTGCATAAAGTAGACAGAGCCTTCCTGGTCAAAGGTGTGTTGTGTAACCATGAAATGCTTTCCCAGGAAAATTAGTTTCTGTTTCTAAGTCCTAAGTATTGTTGCCATATCAATAATACACACTTCCTCTTAAGCCCACCACACCTTGACCTGGAATCACTCACTACTCATCTAAAGGACAGACCATGAGGTAAAATTGAAATTTAGATAAAATCAGGTTAACTTTCTCCCCGAGATACTTCATGCAATTATTTAAACGTCTCAACAATGACCAGCATAATGGCCTCAGTAGCAATTATCGCTCAAGTATATTTGGGTAGAAGAATTTGTGTTAAATATTTTAAAACTCTTATTTGGAAAAGTCACATCAACCTAGTGCATTTTATTGGGCAACATAAAATATACATGAAAATTATGGAAGAACACAGTCTGACACAAGAATGTGAAGCTGGCTGCCAATTCTAGAACAGATGCACCAAGGCAAAGCCAACAGCCAGCAGGCAATTTAACCAGGAAGACTTGGCTTGATTAAAGGGATTCTCGATTTGGCCAAAGCACAGATAGTTAATGTGCATGTGGATTACATACACGGACAGAATCTATTTTTCTTATCCCACATATGCTTTCTATCAGAAATCTATAAGGGTTATGTTCAGACATTTTTAATTTTTATATATGTGTTAAAGATTATTGTGTATATGATTGAGTCACATATTGGGAATGTTATATTAACATATATTCAGATAAATGGAATGAATTTTGTGTAATAAGGAGAAAGTGCTGTGCTAGTGACGATGGACCATTCTTAGCCTCATAGAAATCTATAAATATAGGGTGTCTTCCAAAAACGTATACAGATACCTTGACTAATTATAAAGGCCATATTTCTTAAACTGCATTGCATTTTCAAAATTAAGCAATCAGCTGTTAAAGTGTTTATATGTTTTTTGGAGATATGCTATATAAGTAACGGTTAAGTCAAACGTGGGAAAACATTATAACAGCATATGTTTTTAAAGTGATGTTGTTAGATGTATTTTTGAATAGTGTGGAAATAAATTAACAGAGAAAATAAAGAGTTTATTAAATATTATATTTGGAGAATGTACAAAATCAATGTTCCTATCCCCGCTCCCACTACCACCACTATGAATGACTGCTTTCTGTGGTCTGGGCCACACAGGGCCTCTCAGCATCCCCATCCTCCAGGCACCCAGAGGTGCAGCTGCTGCCTCCACTGTGGCTGAGTGTGGGTCCACAGCAGCAGCCACACATCTGGACTACATGTGGGGACCTCCAGAGACTGTAGGCCTTCCCCGGGGAAACTGAGGCTGCCTCTCCTGCTGATGCACACCTCGCTCCTGTTCTCACAGGGCTGGGCAGCCATGTTTCCTCAGTTGTGAAACACTACTTCATATTGTCCTTGCTCATGAAAAAGAAGGTGGCAGAGATGACACCCCTGTGGCCATCCTTGGTCACTCTCCCTCTGTGTGGCCTGTCATCCAACCTGCAAGTGTCAAACTCATTTCCTCTCATCTAGACTTTTTTTAATATTTTTTATTAACTTCAGAGAGAAGGAAGAGGGGGAGAGAGATAGAAATGTCAATGATGAAAGTCATTGATCGGCTGCCACCTGCATGCCCCACTCTAGGGATCAGGTCCGCAATCTGAGCATGTGTCCTGACAGGGAAGTGAATCTTGACCATCTGGTTCATGGATCAATGCTTAACCACTGAGTCATGCCAGCTGAACTAGACTTTTCATTTTCTTTTAATATTTGGTTATAATCTACTTTTTCCTCTCCTTTAATTAGACACCAATGTTTTTCTCAAGGACTGAAAAAAATTGATGTGGCAGAAATATGATAATTATCCAAAAGAGTAACACGCTTTTCTCTTTGAAATTAAAAAATGTATACTATTAATATAAATTTTTGAAAAATATCTGTGAAATCAAAATTTAAAAAGAAGGCATACTAGTAAAGTGAGAGAAATTCATAATAAAATCCGGATTCTGAAGAAGTATGCTTGCTATGACTGTTTGATATATTGGCAAATAAAACTGTGTAGGCTGTCTTCATATCATCAATTTCATATTAACTGCTCCATTTTGAAAGTACTGAGATCAGCCCTGTTCAAACATTAAAAAATTACCACCTAGCCCTGATTGGTTTGGCTCAATGGATAGAGCATCGGCCTGTGGACTGAAGGGTCCCAGATTCGATTCTGGTCAAAGGCATGTAACTGGGTTGCGGGCACATCCCCAGTAATGAGTGTGCAGGAGGCAGCTGATGGATGTTTCTCTCTCATCGATGTTTCTAACTCTCTACCCCTCTCCCTTCCTCTCTGTAAAAAAAAAAAATCAATAAAATATATATATATTTTTTTAAATTACCACCTAATGCAATCTGGCAGCAGCATTTGAAAACACAAGGTTTCTTATAGGACCTCAGACTATGCATGTCTTATCCAAATAATTAGGTACATTGCTTTTTTAAAGAAATCATATGGATTACACTCATAAACCTTCATTACTTCTGAACTTCAAGTCTTGATTGTTTGCAGGCAATTGTCACTCAGAACACAGGGAGCCAGGAGAAACTGGAGGATTGTGGAGTAGCAGAGAAGACATGGCATAGAGTCAACATAGAATCCCTCTTGGTTCTATCACCAACCAACAATTGCAATCTTGGAAGGTGACACCCTCTCTGAGCCCCAGAGAGGTTGTGAAATAAAAACATTAAAGCTTCTCTCTGTGGTGGTGAAGAGAATTAAGTTGGGTAGTAAAGCCACTGAATCATAAGAGATACCCCATGAGTAGTAATTCTCTACCGACAGTTCTCATCCTACATATGCAATCTCGTGGAATTCTTCTGGATCCCCAAGTACCAACATATGAAATACCAGGTGTTTTTAGTGGTGAACATTTATCTACCTTTGAGATTCTTTGTTGTCAATGATGGATTCTCACTCTATCACCAAAGTACAGAATATTCACCTACTGATCAAATTTCAAACATTTGGAGAATTTGTCAATTGAGCATCATGTTCCATGCCTTAGCTCCTCAAGAGATCCGGTGTTCAATGAAGACGTTTTCAGTGGCTTTGCAGGTGCCTGTCTTGCCTGGTAGTCATATCTTTGAGGCCAGCACAGGTGACAAAGTGATGCTGATGGGAATGGATCAGTCTTTCAAGACATTTGATGATTTCATAGTCAGGAAGAGCAAGGCTGGTCATGTTCAAGCCCAGCATCTGGGAAACCACCTCCCTAAAGTCCATCAGCTGGAATATCAAACAGAAACACAGTAACTGAGAGAGCAAAAGTGTCAACTACCGCTGAGCCAAATGCAACAACAAAAACCATAGAAAATCCAGGTGTGCCTGAGGCAGGTAAGTGACTTACTCTCATTGACCTCAGTTCTCTCATTTATAAAATAGGAAGGCTAGCCTACTAAATTACCTCTACAGTCCTTTCAGGCACCAACCTTCAGCAATTTCATAACCATTTTTCTGATGAGCCAATTAATGTGGTATTGGCTACCAAGTCAAGAATCCCAATTAAGCAACCGTGAACAAGACTCTGACCTAAGGCTCTGACCTAACTAAGATTTCATTTCTCACTTCCAAGGTAGGAACAACTACAGACCTATTTCCCGGGCCTATAATGTACCTCTCAAACTAAAGGAAGGGCAAATGGCAAGAAAGTTATGAGCTCATGGCAACAGAAGAGCTTCTAAATGATGCTCAAATTGCATCAAACAGATCACCACCATAACCTATCAAGGACTGGAGACAATGGTGGAAATGTGCCTTATACCCCTTTGAATTCTGATAGACTGGTTGGTGATCCCAGGCTGAAGAAGAAGCAGATAAATCAGGGACAGCAGGGCGACACCTCACTAGAGGTGCCTTCCATCTTAGGAGAGGTGTGATCTAACCTGAAGTCAGATATTACATCCAGACCTGCCTTCCAAACATTCCCACCTTATGCTCGTTCGCTTCCCAACCTTCTCCCTACGCTGAGTCCAATTTGGGAAACATAACGCTTTCTCTAGCCTTGTCTCCCTGATGAAAAGGGTTGCTTGAAGTTCCCCATCCTTTCAAACATGGCCAAAGCTCTTAATTCTGGAGTGGTTTGACTCAGAGAGCGCTCACGCTTCCTTTGGCCTTCCTCAACTCTGCCTGACACATGAGCCAGAGCAGAGGCAGCCAGAGAGAAAAATATCCTAGGACCAGAGTCCACTCTGAGCCCTTAGAGCACCAGACTGAGTGAGATGAAAGCCAAAGCATTGGGGGTCAGGCTGCCCGGGACATGCTTCTTCCTGCCTGACCTCTTGATGTGCTCACCAGATAACTCTCTCCTCCTTGGACTGGTGAGCAAATAAGACCTGCTTTATGGTTTACATCTGGGTTTGGTTGGCCTTCAGGTCTGGGTGCCACTGTTGGAGATTTGGGACTGTTTCCTTGAGCTGATCTCTCTGGAGATGAGGTTTATCATGACCTCCTGGGGCTGAAGCCCTGGTGACCATCAGAAGATGTGGGATGAAGCAACCTCCAGGAGCAATCAGCGAGCATCATAACAACCTCCCCATAACCAGAACCTGGCTTTTCACAGGCTTTCCATTGCTTTGATAAGAATGTCTTTTTCTTTCCTACAATCCATCCCATGAAAATGGGAATTACTTTTGTTTGTAGAATAAATCATGATGGTTCTTTTAATGCCAAAAAAAGATGCTAGATAGCAGGCAGAGATGTTGAAATGATATAGAAAGTTCTGTAAACTGCCTGGCTGGCATGGCTCAATGGTTGAGTATCAACCTATGAACCATAGATCACATTTCCATTTCCTATCAGGGCACATGCCCGGATTGTGGGCTCAATCTCCAGTGTGGGTTGTGCAGGAGGCAGTCAATCAATGATTCCTATCATTTCTGTCTCTATCTCTCTCTCCCTCTCGTTCCTCTCTGAAATGAGTTAAAAATTAAAAAAAAGAAGAAAAAGAAAAAGAAAGTTCTATAAATAGTTTATGAAGAAATGTGTGAATAATGATCAAGCTTTGGGATTGTCCTATCTTTCCTATGTAGGAAGGTTTCATCACCTGGTGTTTACCCACCTGCTTTTCCCTCTTTTCTGCTTCTTCCAGGGATTTCCTTAGCGTCTTCAATTCGCTGGTCACCACCTCTATCGTGTTCCTGGCCCTGGCCTTGTCCTCCTGGGCCTCGAGCTCGGTAGTGTCCAGTTCCGACTTGACAGACATGAGCTTCTTCTCAGCCTTCTCCTTCATCTTTTCCAGTTTATCTCTGGATTTACTGAGGTCTTCAATGGCTTTGGTCTGCTCCAGAGTTTTAATCTAAGAAGACAAGAGAATGCTGATCGTCTCTCATGTATTTACTTAGAAAAACTGCATAAATAAGTCAGAGGTCTGTGAAATTCACTGAACTCATAACTTTTTTTGAGTAAAGAATGAAATCTTTATATAAACTTTGTCAAAGATATGTGTGGGATGAACATGTCTTAACACAGTTATTGTTTATAAAAAACATATCAGAGTACCATTATTTGGAAAATCAATGAGAGAAAATGGTAAATAGCATGATTCTGGAGTTGAATATTAAAATGAAGCCTGCTGGTCCTAGCCAGCTTGGCACAGCGGAGAGAACATCGGCCTGTGAACTGCAGGGTCCCAGGTTCGATTCCAGCCAAGAGCACATGCCTGGGTTGCGGGCTCAACCCCCAGTGGAGGGGGGGGGGGTGCAGGAGGCAGCTGATCAATGATTCTCGCTCATCATTGATGTTTCTATCTCTCTCTCCTTCTCCCTTTCTCTCTGAAATCAATAAAGAAATACATATTTTTTTTAAGTTTTAAAAAATAAAATAAAAATAAAATGAAGCCTGCTGGTTCCTATATGCAAATTCCATGAGCTCCCAGAGCTCTTTCTGCTTCTTCCAATGGGTCACGCCTGGTTTGGAAGCATTAGGAGAACCACAATGTCCCCTCTGCGTGTGTTTTACCGCAGGAAGCCCGCCTCCCTGCCCTCTGCCAGCTGCATCACTGCTGTGAGGAGGAGCTACAGCAGCACTTTTCTGGGGAAATGTCTTCTGACTTTACCAGGGAGTGCACTGGCCTGCAGGGAGCCAGGACATCGTGGTCATCCTATTGGTGACATCCAAGTATTATAATAACATTTAAAATATGACCTGTGCACAGAAGTTACATATTCATGCCACCGAACTATTTTGACCAAATTATTTTACGTTTTAGTTCCTTTCTTCTCTGTATTCACTGGAAATCGGAAACCTCAAGTCCAAGAAGCACATCGCCCAATCTATACACCCTCCTGGATACTTGATACAATTCATCTCCCAGAGACCGACATCTCAAAACTGCCTGCCTCTCCTCACGTCTTCCTTCACAAATTCCTACATGATGAAACCCTACAATGACCCCTAAAATCACCGCCGCCCTCATTTTAAAGAAATGTTTTTATTTTCTGGACTTAACACCACCCTGTTTGAGTGACTTTTCCCAAAGCAAGCAGCGACTGCAGCTCTATTTCAAATATGAAAGAGCCACTAAACTGAGCTAATATGCTGACGTGTGTAATGTTTGCACTTTTCCCACAACTCTAGAAAATCAGGGGAAGTTTCCATCCGATTTTCTAGCATGTCCATGATGAGACTGGCACCCTTTCGCAGAAGCAAAAAGCAACCAGAGAGCAAAGCTGAGCACTTGCCTTCAGCTCATTGGTGTCAGCCAGTTTGGCTTTGAGCTCAGTGTTCGATTCCCGGCACACGCTCAGCTCCTTCTGCAGCCTCTCCACCTGCTTCTGTAACCTCCGCGTGGCGGCATTGGCCTCGTCCCTCTCCACAGCCAGGCCCGTCCGCAACCGCTTCTCCTCCTCCAGCTGCGCTATCTTGTGCCGGAGGAGGTTCAAGTGCAGTTCTCTGCTCTCCAGTCTGTCTTTCTGGGTCTTGAGCTGGTTTGGCACAAACAGGAGTTTTGAATTGAACAGCCAAATAATCATAGATGATTTACTCAAATGATGTTGATCTTTATCCACACTCCAATAAGCCTGCTGTCTACATCATTTTTTAAAAATGGTACTAGGTTCCTTCTCCTGACTGCATTTGTATTTCTATCTTTTGAAGAATTAATTTTGTAGATGCAAAGTATGAGATCGAACAGCCAGAGAAAGTGCACAGAGAAATAGGCATTTCTCAACACCTGACTGCCTCCAACATAATGTTCATCTAATAAAAATGAGAAATTGCTTTTAAGACAATGAAAAGGAGCCCAGCTGGTGGGGCTCAATGGTTGAGCAACAACCTATGAACAAGGAAGTCAAGGCTTGACTCCCAGTCAGGGCACACGCCCAGGTTGTGGGCTCGATCCCCAGTGTGGGGCGGGCAGGAGGCAGCCGATCTATGATCCTCTCTCATCATTGATGTTTCTAGCTCTCTCTCCCTCTCCCTTCCTCTCTGAAATCACTAAAAATATTTTTTTTAAAAAACAACTAAAATGGGCTTATCAGGGGCAGAATATAGTAAAACCGAGAGACAAAATCCTCTCCAACACCCCACAGCCACTCTTCTTGCCCTGGTCTTTCCTAAAAGAAGACAAGGTGCAAATTAGCACCAAAAATCTAAACTGCCTTGTCTCCATCCCTCAGGCCGTGAGTAGGCTAGCTTCCTTTAAAGTTCACATATTTTTAAAGTAAGTGATACCCGGGAACACTGTTCAGAATAAGTGATGCCAGGGAAAATTTTTTAAAGCTTTGTTTATATATTTAACATCTTAGAAACAGAAGGGACTTGAGGAAAGTTTGAGTTCTTCGGTGTCATTATTACATGCCTGGCCTATACCATCCACAAACCAAGCAGGTCCTGAAACAGCACTTATCATTGACAATTAAAGTTGATGAAGGAAATTATAGTGTTTTTTAGAAAAAGACTGTGGGCTCTAAGAGGAGAAAAAAATCCTCATGGGCGTCACGTGTCACAATTAGTGAGTGGAATATTAAGTATAGAAACCTCTTTCATCTGTTACAAAAATTAGGAATGAGAATCGTGTAGAATTATAGAATGTTAGAGCTGAGGAACGTCACATTTTCCCTAATTATTATTATTAGTTTTTTTAATCCTTGCCCGAGGGTATTTTTCCATTGATTTTTAGAAAGAGTGGAAGAGAGAGGGAAGGACAATATTAATGTGAGAGAAACACATCGATTGGTTGCCTCCTGCATGAGCCCCTACTAGGGCCCAGGTCAGTACGTGTCCTTGACAGGAATCGAACCGGGGACTTTGGGCCGCAGGCTGACGCTCTATCCACTGAGCCAAACCGGCTAGGGCACATTTTCCCTCATTACTGACTCTGCATTTGTTAAGTGTTCAGAGGTGTGAAGAACTAATGGAAATGTGGGCTAGAATACCTTGCCTAATGGTGACAGCAATGTCCCTGCCTGGAACCCTTAGTAACATGGCCCTTTCAATATTTCTCTAACTAACCTCCCTTCCTTGAGCTTCTTCATATTGAAGTCCACTCTATTGCAAATTTACACTAGCTAGTTCTGTAATTTTAATAATTACACAAGACTTAAGAAAAATGGTATTAGTGATAAAAAAAAAAAAATTCAGTTATCTGAGGGAAACTTCAGAAAAAACTGTAGCTCCATTTAATGTCTCTAATGGTAACAGGGGTTGTCTCCTTTCTGTTTAAAATATTCCCAAAGATACAGTACATGGAGAGGAAGTCAAATGTAAATAGAGCATCTCCTATGAGCCAAGAGCTCAAAATGTTATTTATTAAAAATTGACGACCTCCTGAAATAGGTGTCATCCCCATCTTTAATATGAAGAGAGGAATGCAACTTCCCAAGGTCACAGAGCTGGGTGGAGCCAAACTGGGACCCAGCTGGGACTCATTACATGGCCTGCACACTGAAACTCTACCACAGAATTTTCTCCTAAGAACTATTACAAGGATACATTTGTGTTCTCCTTTTTCCTTCCCCAATGCCAATAATTACATAACTAATAATTATATTTTATCCTTTTCTTGCATTCATTTATTTAAACTATTTCTAACTCTCCCTTTGAGTGAGTGAAAAGTAATCTCTTCTCTCTCTATTTTCTAGTCTAATAGAGCTTTTATAAAGCAGAGACGGCTAACTGTTCACCAATTCTTCTCTCCCATAGTTATAGAAACAGTAAATTTTTCAGCTATGTAAATGGCTAGCCAGAGTAAAGATTACCGTTTCAAGCCTCCCTTGCAGCTAGATTTAACCATCAGAACATATTCCATGGGACATAAACACATGTAGCAATTCTGGGAACCTCCTTTAAGACAGCTCATGTCTGCACTTTTGCATCCCTCTCCTACATCCCTTCCTTCTCCAACTTCCTTGCTGGAACACAGATATAATATTTCTAAAAACTATTTTTAACCATGAGGATAAGGACTACCCTGGGGATGGGTGATTAATGAGCCTAAATGAGCTGGGTTTCTTCAAAACTTCACGGAGCTGAGTTGTCACACTAGCCCTAAGCTGCCTACTTCCAGGAATTTGTGCAACAGAAGAAAAATAATAAAACACTTCTACTTGTTTAAGCCACTGTTACTCTGGGTCTTTATTACTCACAGTCTAACAAAACCTTAGGTGATACCCTGCCATCACTCAAACTTGAAACAGGATTCTAAACACATACTATTATGATCATGTTTCCTGGCCACGTTGGAAATACTGTGGCAGTAATTTATATCTCAATATTGAAGTTTCACAGATATTCATTCTCTCAACACTGGCAAGTTTCCACTCTCCTACCTTTCTCTGTAAATTGTGGGCGATGGTCTTATTTTCAATGACGGCATTGCTCTCAAGGTGTACCAGCTGTTCCGCGCGAGCTAAAACTACATCTAGACGCATGTCAAAGCCAAGTTCAGCAGCTATCTGGTCCAATTTCATTTTCTCTGAGAGCTGGTCCAGAAATTTAAGATACTAAACCCAAGAACAAAAATGAAAATGGGACACAAAAATAAAGTTAACAGGCGATCTCACACAATCCTCCCCTTTCTCCCAGGTTGACAGGGAGTTCTCATTAAACCAGTAGGTGCCCAGCCCCTCAACACTAAAATTTGGTACTGAATTCCTGACCTGCCCTGACAGCTCCATGTCCTGTTCCTTGACCATATTCTCTTGACTCTCCTGAGCAGTGACTTTGATGTTCAATCTAACACCGCACTCTCTTCTTAACCTTGCCATGTGACAGGTGTGCATGCTCCCAAGTATTCCTCCATCTCTCTTCTTTGCTACATGCTGCTGCTACCACGCCCCTGCTAGGCTAATCCAGCCCCAGGCATCCACCCCTACAGACCTTCCATGGAGATTTTTCTCACCCAATGTGGCCCAGGCCTCAAAAGTGGAAAATTAGGACTTAACCAGTTGCCACACCACTCTCCATACAAACAACCTTTGCTTTAGAAAAGGTCTTTAAGTGTTGTGAATGTATCCTATAGTTAAAGGAACAACACTCCAAAATGGAGTCGTTATCAGGAAGGTCAAAGTTCACATTTTAGCAGGTTAAAGTGACAAAACTGTTCTGGGACCTTTCTCTCCTTGATTTCTGTGGCTAAGCTGGCCATGCCAGATATAGAGAAATGTCTACTAAGTACTTGCTGGATAACCAAATGGATCAATGTGCTTTCTGTATCATCATTCCATGATTCGGGTTCCATCTTTGCAATTTTCTTCCCAATGAAAATAACTCAGGCAATTTCATGTTGAAATAAATATAAATTCCTGACAACTGAAGCAATCCATTGTTTTTTTTAATCCTCACCCAAGTGTATGCTTATTGAATTTAGAGAAAAGGGAAGGAAGAAAGGGGAAAAGGGGAGGGAAGGAGAGAGAAAAATCATTGATGTGATAAAGAAACATGCTCTGACCAGGAATCAAACCTGCAACCTATTATCTTCTGAGTTGAACTTTCTAAGAATCCCAACTGGGCTCCCTACCTTTAGTGTCTGGACCTTCAGAGACATTCTGCCTTCAGAAAACCTTTTTCTTTTCCTCAAAAGGCCCGACCCCCCCCCCCACCCACTTCCCCATTACCTATAGGATAAAGCCTCCAGGAATGAGCCTGACTTACCTCAATTATCCCTGCCTCCAGAGCCACCTCCCACTTTTGGCCTTGGCCAGTCTCTTTGTGCCTCATTCCTCTTCTAAACAGTCCGGTCACAACTCCCTTCCTTCATCCCTCCTGCTGTTCCCTCTGCCCCAGATCCCTTCCCCAACTCTTCCGTCAGTCAAATTCCTACTTGTTCTTTAAAGCCCTTCACATAAGTCACCTGCGAAATCTGTCCCTTCTCCCCACTAAAATGCTACTTATCCTTCAATAATCAACTCAACTATCATCTTCCTATAAAATCATCCCTTTATATAGAAGCTCTCACTCTTTTCATTGGGCTTCTATTGCTCTTTCTTAATCAGTATCTCTGTTATACACTTACAGCTTTTAGTACAGCAAATTATTTGAATGACTGTCTCCTCTATTGAATTATGAGCCACTTAAGATGAATCGTGAGTTACGTATTCATACCTTACCCTCCAAGCCTTCAGCATCTCATATATAATAGCTGTTCAATATATTCGTTAACTTTAATTAGATATAATTGAATGATTAGATTTAATTTGAATCAAGGAAGTGCCAAACAGTAAGAAGAGACTTCAAAACAATACCCATTGTTCCTTGAAATTTACTCATGATTCAGTACGTAACCACCAACTATCGAATTGCTGAAAATTTCACAGTAATTTCAGGTAAAATACTACAGTGCAACAGATGTATCCACCCGTGGACAAGCCCTCAGGTTACTACCTTTTGTTTCTCAAAATTCAAGTTGTCCCGCAAAACATCTCCAGACACCAGCTCCCCCTCCAGGTGTGTCAGCTGACCCCGAAGAGCCTCCAGCTTGTGCTCGGCTTCCTGGGCTCTCTGCAGAGCTTTCTGGTGAAACCCAGACTCATTTTCCAACTGCTCAACAAGCTCAGATATTTGGGCTTCAAGCTGGGAAACCATCTGGAAACAAACAAAACAAGAAGCCTTGGTTTAGACGCGCCAAAGTGTTAAAATCTAGTGCTCAGTGCAAACAACATATTATTTATAACAACAACATCCAGATTCTTCAGAAAAATGGGCTAAGAAACAGGTAATTGATGTATTTGAAATAAATATGTATCCATTACCTAATAAAATACTTTTGGCCTTTTTAATTTTTATATAATTCCTCAAATAAGTTACTCCATAAATGTTTATGGATAAGTTATTTACCCCTAAAGCTGCCATTAATTTGGGAATTTTAAAGCTTAGTTGGAAAAAGAGTTCAGACAGATAGTATTTTTAAAACCTATACAAGTGTCAAAAAATATATGTAAGTATCATTCTTCTTCTATCATATATAATTATTTAAAGACTATGCAGTGAGTTCATCTTGATAAGCAATGAGAAGTTATCAGTGAATTCAAGAGCACAAAGCTACAGGGTAAGGCAAAAGTAAATTTACAGGTGTTCATCTACCCAATAAAAGAGTAATATGTTAATTGACCATACCTCCATGATGCCCCTCAGCCAATCAGCAGTGATTATGCAAATCAATCCAACAAATATGGTGGGTTAATTTGTGTACTCAGGCGCCAAGTGACTGGGGGCAGGGCAGGACACTTGTGTCATTGCCATGGCAACAATACAGGCATTCCACACCACCCCAGCTGCTCTGGGCCTCTGGGCAGCATGGGAAGGAGGAAAGGCAACTCCAGCTAGAGCGAAGGCAGTGCCAGCAGCCAAGGGAAGAAAGGCCCATTCTTGCATGAATCTTCATGTATCAGGCCTCTCGTATGGGAAATAATACAAAAAGTAAAAATAACCATACAAGAATAAACTCTGTCTCATGTACTCACAACTGTAAACCTACTTTTGCCCCACCCTGTATTGCTTCAAGCTCCTTTTCCATTTTCTACTGAGTATTGGTTATTCCTTCACTAACCTTAGTCAGTGGTGCTGCCTCTGGGCTACACAATTATGGGGCAATTTTATCGTCTGAACAAGTGAAAGGTCAAAATTATTTTAATAAGGTGATTCTGCAAAGGATCAATGGAAGTGTACAAGCAGGTAGAACAGTCTGAGTATTATCTCCCCTCCTATAACATAAGGTTACTGCTTCTCTGCTGAATGCCCCAAGACTCGCACAACCCCTAACTTGGCCAATGCTTCCTCCCTTCTATGAAGTTGCTCTCTTTATCCTGATCTTCCCTTAAACCAAGAACATAAGCTTACCCAAACCAAAGGTATACTTTGAGAAACTCAAATTGATCCTTGCAAATCCAGTTTTCATAAAATGTTCAATTCAATAAAAATACCAAGTGTGAGGTGATAAATTTTGTTTGTTTTGATCGTTTGTTTTCCACAAGGAGAGGGGGAAAGTAGTAGATATTTACATAATACACAGTACTATTCTCACAGAAATTAAAGTATCTTGATGGTTTCATATTTACCGCTTCAGTTTTTAAAAAAACAAATTCTGCTTGTTTATAAACAACCATGCTTAAAGGCAAGAAGAAATTAAAGCTGTGTTCAAATATTTTGAAACATTAGGATTTGTTCTGAGTTACCCTCAGAGCTTAAGCTGAGGATCAATAGTTATAAATCAGAAAAAGAATTCACTTCAATGTAAGAAAAAAAAAATGTTCCCTGGTCCCTATAATTATAAATTAATGCTTGCCCTTTATAAAAGATCCATTAAGAACAAAAAAATACATAAAACAGCCAAAAATAATTCCCATTGATTTCACTCCTCAGAGATAGCAACTATTAATATTTTCAAATAACTTATTTCATGCATATTAAATATCATTGAGTGACGCTATTTGCCATTTAATCTTTTTGCTTTTACCTCACATTTTAAGCATCTTTCCAAGATTCCCATTTGCCGAAGATGGCCAGAAGATGGCCAATTGTTAGTTAAGAATGTGCTGGGGTGAGTTGAAGTGCTCTAATCAGGAATGATAGACTACTTGACCTCTAAATTCTCTAATCCTGGACTTCTATGGCTTTCAAGGTTCCATTAATTCTAGACCTCTGCAGGTGCTCGAAATCAAATATTTGTGGGAAGCTGCTCAATGCCACATCCAAGAAATTATATTTCCCAAGGACATTTCAAATTTCATTACAGAATATGAGTCTCTGAGAACCATCATTTCATATTTCCCATCCTAACTAATGATAGATCTGATCTTAATGCAAGAGAGAGGTATGCTTGTCTTGGTACAACATAGAAAGTTCAACCTACAAAACAATGGCCATCAAACATTGTTCCCAAGATACTGCCTCCTGGGGACTGTTTTATGATATCATATGATACAGCACATTCCAGTGCAGCAGGAAATGTGGTTTCACATTTAACTTCATGTGGAAAAGGAGTCTTTCTACCTGAAGATCATTCAACACTTCTCCGATCCCACGGAAACACAGACAACCTCATCTGGAGAGATGGGAAACAGAGTGACCTCTTAGCCACAATCAGCACACTGCAGAACAGAGACAAAAAAAAAAGTCTTCCATAGAAATCAATCCACAGACTCCAGTGTGAAGATGATACCTTGAGCAACTGCAAGAAGCTAGACTACGAAAGTGATACTGACCCTGAAAAAAGGCATTCTAATGTAGACCTGACTGTGGGACAGGGACTTAGGTGTCCGATTGTCCTGATTTCAAATTTCAACTCTACTACTTGCCAGTGTATTAACCAAAGCAAGTAATTAACCTCTCTGAAACATGCAGACTTTATGATAATTGGGTGAGATAATTTAGATCATTTGAGTAGCACAGTATTTATACTCAATTTAAGTTCACCACACTGCATACATTTTTATCATCAGTATCATTCCTGCAGTACGTTGTTTTGGTCACTTCTATGCTATTGTCATACAGAGTTCAAGGGACCTTTTTGAAAGTGTCCTGTGTCCTACGTCATGCTTCCCTACTTATTTTCAGCCCACAGAGACTGAAATCTTCCTGAGAAGGACAAATAACGGACAAGCATGTTGAATCAAAGATGAGAGGGTCTGTACTGAATCCTCACCCTGTGTGAACCCAAGAGCGTCCCACGGACCTTAAAGACTCAGCAGAGAAGAACTTGTAAAACCATCGGGATGTCGATGGTGAACTGTGCAGATCCACCAACTGCCCTCTCAAGGTTCCGGAGTCCAGAAAGGATCAAACAGCTGAGAACCTCCCCACACTCCATGCATCAGAACTCAGCTTCATGAGCTTACTTAGATCTCAGTGAATACATCACCAAGATTTTTTTCAGAGCTAAATTTACATAAAAGTATCCAAATAAATGAATGTTCTAATCTGATTCAGTTCTTGGGAACATCAGATGCCAGTGCCTGATGAACATATGTGTCCCACCAAAGCTGGAGGTATGTTCTTCACACTAAGAAGCATTTCTTTCTCTCTTTTTCTTTTTCTTAGTCTTGACTATTAATATACCCCTGATATCCTATGGGGCAAAATGTGCCAGGGATTTTGACACTAGAAAATGGTAGAGGATGTGGGGGAGGAGGAGTTGTAATAAAGAATACATACCTCAATTGTTTTTAAACAAAAAAGGCACTGAAGTAAACCACACTTCAAACCCAAGCAACTTGCTTTTTGGGAGGGAAGTAATAAGGCCTAAAAGAATTCATTCACTTCCCAAGGACAAGTTGTTGTTGATTTTACCAGAGGTTCTTTTGCACTAAGTTTGAGCCAAATGGAAACATGAGAGCCCTAAACTGGAGAAAGAGCCACTTGGGTCACTTAAGGACCAGTGCCTTTTGGACTTAAACGACTCTTTTCTGATTATTCAAGTTATAATTTTCACTTAAGAAAGTATATAAAATAAGTTATCAGGAACCAGGTGGAACATCAATCAAATTCTCCTTCCCTCCTGTCAGCATGTGTGGCTGACACCATTGACTAGCTAATCCTACCCTCCCTACCTTTGTGCATATCAACTTTTGTTATGGGGTGAATTAGTCCTCAAAGAGAGGTATGTTGATGTCCCCCAGTCCCCTCAGAATGTGACTTTATTTGTAAATGCGGTCTTTTTTTTAATTTAAATTCTTTATTGTTTAAAGTATTACGTGAGTCTCCTTTTCTCCCATGAAAATGAAAGTCTTTACAGAGATAATCAAGTTAAAATGAGATCATTAAGGTGGGGCCTAGTCCAATATGATTCATATCCTTATAGAAAAGGGAAGTTTGGACACAAAGACACGTACAAATAGGAGGAAAATGATGTGAAAACAGAGAACAAGCCAAGTGGTAGTTGAGGCTGCCAGAAGCTAGGCAAGAGGCATGGGACAGATTCCCCATCACACCCTCAGAAGAAACCAATCCTGCTGACAGGTTGATTTGGGACTTCTAGTGTCCAGGACTGTGAGACAATATACTTCTATTATTGTCTAAGCCCTTCCTCCTCCAGTTCCTGGTATTTTGTTACAGCTATCCTAGGATATTAATACACTCTAGAGGCTGGGAAAGCCAAAATCCCTATCTATTCACTCTTCCCAGTGCCTGGTAGCCAGGGGTGACTGTGTAACACACTTTTGGACAATGAAAGGTCACTGGGAGTCTGTTGAAGCTTCTTGGTAAATGTTTGCTTAGTAGATTTGAAGACTAAGAACAGAGCAGAATGATAAACTTAGAGGGGGTGTAGGGACTTGTGGGACACCCCTCAGGTCCTTTGGGGCATGAGGGTGAGTCCCCACCGCCCCCACAGAGCTGTCAGACCAGGATGCACACCAATGAGGAAAACAGAGCCTTATGCGTACATAAAGCAGAACAGAAGAGCTGGTCTAGATAAATGTTTGTGAGCCTCTATTAATTTATCTTTAATTTTGGAAATGACAGGGAAATCAATCACAGACATAATTCTCATCCAGATGATTAACCAGTGAGGCAACATATAAAAGGGAAACAAAAGTCTTGGCCTCCCCCTATGTCCGCAGCAACACAATTTACAATAGTTAAGATTTGGAAACAGCCTACATGCCCATCAGTACATGACTGAATTAAAAAAATTATGGTACATCTATACAATGGAACACTATGTGGCAATTAAAAAAGAAGAACTCTTACCATTTGCAGGAGCATGGATGGACTTGGAGAATATTATGCTAAGCCAAATAAGATAGTCAGAGAAATATAAGTATCACATGATCTCATTCATATGTGGAATCTAATGAACCACATAAACTGATGATCAAAACTAGACCAAGAGACATAGAAGCATGAACAAACTGTTGAACCTCAGAGGGAAGGCAGGGGAGGGTGGGTTGGAAGAGATTAACCAAAGAACTTGTATGTATATATGCATAACCAGCAGGCACAGATAATGTGGTGGTGAGGGTCTGGGGTAGGAGTGGGGAGTGAGCTGGAAAAGGTTAATGGGGTGTGGGGAGAAGGAGGACCTATGTAATACTTTCAACAATAAAGTTGTTGTTGTTTTTAATTTGGCCACAAAATTCTAAACCAAAACCTGAAAATGTCGCAACTTTCTGTCATTGTGCAAGACGCCATTTCAAAAACACGTGTTACAAGTGTCCTGAAATTTCAAGGCTAAATAACATCTAAATCCTCATGTAGGAATCCTGAAAATGGACAGCAGAACGTTTCTTGAAAAGAGTGGTATTCAACGGGGGGTAAATTCACCCCTCCCTCCAGGGGCATATGGCACTGTCTGGACATATGTTTGGTTGTCACAAGTTGAGGAGAAAAGGAATGTGAGTGGTATCTAGCGGGAAGAAGTCCGGAGCTGCTGCTGACCACCCTACAGGGCACAGAATGGCCCCAAAACAAATGACTGCCCAGCCCCAAATTTCAACAGTGCCCCACCTGAGGAAGTCTGCTCTAAGACATCGTAAAACTTTCACAAAAAAAGAACATTACACTTTGCTATAAGCACAAAAGCAAGGAACAAGTAGAAATGGCTGCTTGGAAAAGCCTGGTGGTGTCCTGATGAGAACTGCAAATCTCGAGAGTACAAATGAGGAGCAAAGGGATAAACAAGAAAAGTGATGTTCCGTACATAGGAGGCCACACGGAGTGGAGAGCCCAGCCTGGACCCACTGCAGGCCTCCACACGGGCATCCCTCAGTTTCTGACCGTATTTAACCATGGCAACTGGCAGGTACGCCGCCTCCTCAACAAACACCTTCATCCATTTGTCTGGCTCCCATTCTTCAGAAACATCTCTAAGACAATATACGAAATCCATTTCCTCCTGATTTTACTTGAAGATGAGTCGCACAAGAGGCTGGCGATACGCTTGATTTCAGGCTTTTAAACGGGGAGAGCTGCCATTTAAAAAAAAAATTACAGGGTGGGAAAGGCAGACAAAGGCACTGAAGAGACGCGGAATCATTGTGATTGTTACGGAAAGTGGGGGAAGGCCATCCAGCTTAACCCACTGACACCGTTTTTGCTTTACAAAATAAACATATACATCCTGCTGGCAATTCTGGGCCCCATTTCACAGGCTGGCATTAACAGAGCTTCAGAGGACATTTAGGAAAATAGCAGAGGGAAGCGACAAAATGAAATGGCAAAGAACCATTAGCTATTGAAGTGCGTCTATTGCTATTCAAGGTAAAGAGCCCAATGAAGTTCTTCTCTCTCCATTCTGCAAATAACTTCCTCCCCCCTCCCCCCCAGCTAGTGCCCATCTGTGCACTGAATCACAAGGAAAATGGGGTTCCTCTCACAGACCCACACGTCTCACAAGGACGAGCACTCGATATCCACAAAGAGAAGGACCCCGGGCTGAACAAAGCGGTCCCGCGGGTGGCTCCCAGAGCCCCCGTGAATGCTGCAGAATTCTTGAGGGGATTTAAAAGGCTATAGTGCGAGAGCAAATTGACAAGTGCAGCCTTGAACTGTGAGTTAACGATCCACGCTGAGGCTTTCAGGAACATTGAAAAATGGACATGCAAATTTTCTCCTTTTGGCCAATAGGAGAAGCAGTTCCTCCTGGGAGCACACACAGAGTTTGGGGATGACTCACTTTAAACCTCCTTGCTTAGAACTTCAATCGTTGGCACTGGAGGATAGTAACTTAGAGTTGGGCTGAAGTTGACTGGACGAAGCAAAACTTGACAGAACATGAGATTCACTCATAGTATAAACCACAGGACAAAATTAACTAAGCTTCAGTCATAGGTGTGCGTTAAGTCATTTTTCTCCACTTGTTAAATAGGTCCTTAGAAGACTGTTTTAGGCACCTCCACATCAGCAAAAGGAGGGGCGAAGGAGGGAGAGAGGACATGCTAACAGCATGCTTTGCATTAAGCACTTACAGTCAGCAACCACCTTATGAGACAGGTACTAGTATGGTCTAGAACCCTCACCTGCAATTCCAAAATCCAAACCATCTGCAACCGGGCAGGCTTTCTGTAACTCATTTACCCATAAAGCTTGACAGGCCCGGTTTGGCAGTGAGCCCTGACCCGAGGTGACATGAGACTCTGCAGGAGCTGGGAGGGCCTCACGTGGAGGGGCTGCTCCCGCAGAACAATGTGTGTGACGGAGGAGGACTGTATCACCCTGCCTTCTCTATCGCCTTTCTAACCTCCAAAAAATTCTGGATTCAAAAACACATTGGACCCCAGAGGCTTCAGGAAAGGGGTGTGGACTGTGCTGTCCCTGTACAAGGTGAGTGAACAAAACCTCCCGGGCCATACTCGGGGAACGGCCCCCAGTCACACCGGGAGGGAGGGAGTGCGGGACAGAGACAGGATCCGCCTCAAGGTTCTGACTCCGGACCCGCAATGTAGCCAGCAGCTGCGTGAGTGACTCTCCAGGCTTGGTAAGTACGATGCAGAATTGAAAGTAAAACTGAAAGCACATTTAAATGATAGCTATCACTCACGCAGATAACTCAGTCACTGAGGATGCTACGTGAATGAGTGCACTGAAGAGGCCTCACTCACCCTTTTCTGGCTCTCTTCCTGGCTATCCATTTCTCGAATCTTCTCCAGAATGGCCTCCTCTGTGGACCCAATCATGTCCAGGCTGCCCCTAAGGAGGACTGCGATTTTCTCCCTAAAGGAGGTGTGCTGGTTCTGGGAGGCCTCGGCTGCCTCCAAGCTGGCCTTCAACCTTCTCTCCAGCTCGCAGGAATCTTTCTTCAAGAGGCTCAGCTCCTGCTTGGAAGCATCCCAGGCCCGCTGGCCTGCAAGCAGCCTTTCTCGGAAGGTCTGCACTTCCCTTTCAAGAGCTTCCTTTGCCTCTACAGCGCTGAGCAAGTCCTAAGACAATTACATAGAGTGAGAAGAAAAACATTAGCGGCCAATGAGAGGCACCTAGGTTTAATCCTCATTCCATTTTAAAATCTAAATCATCTCTTCAGAAAGTTGTTAATGTCAGGTAAATTTAGGTATCTAAAAAGGAAAAGAGATATATGCCCTGGTCAGGTAGCTAAATTGGTTAGAGTGTCGTCCCCATATACCAAGGTTAAGACTTGATACCTGGTCAGGGCATATGCAAGAAGCAACCAATGAATGCATAAATAAGTGGAACAATAAATCGATGTTTCTCTCTGTGTGAAATTAATCAATAAATTTAAAATTTTTGATATATTTTTATTGATTTCAGAGAGGAAGGGAGAGAGAGAGAGAGATTGAAACATCAATATTGAGAGAGAATCACTGATTGTCTGCCTCCTGACTAAGCCCACAACTCAGGCACATGCCCTGACTAGGAATCCAACCGTGACCTCCTAGTTCATAGGCTGATGTTTAACCACTGAGCAACAATGGCCGGGGAATAAATAATTTTTTATAAAGATAAGAAATATAAATCAGGACTAGGAAAAAAATAAAATTGGCATAAGCCTTTTCTATGTGGCCTTCTGGAAAGAGTTGATAAAAAACAAATCATTTGGGCTGGGGGGAGGGGGGGGCAGAGAGGCCGGGGGAAGGTCAATGGGGAGAAAAAAGAGACATATTACTACTATTTGTAATACTTTAAACAATAAAATTAAGTTTTAAAAAAAAACAATCATTGACTAATATACTAGTAGATTCAATCCATATCTAGTACTGTATGGTTACAAAACCAGTAGTTCTCAAGCTCGGTGGACAGGGAAATTGATTTTGAACAAACAGTAAACTCTTGCCGGAATCGGTTTGGCTCAGTGGATAGAACGTTGGCCTGCAGACTCAAGGGTCCTGGGTTCAATTCTGGGCAAGGGCATGTACCTTGGTTGAAGGCACATCCCCAGTAGCGTGTGTGCAAAAGGCAGCTGATCAATGATTCTCTCTCGTCAGTATTTCTGACTCTCTTTCCCTCTCCCTTCCTCTCTGTAAAAAATCAATAAAATATTTTTTTTTTTTAAAAACAGTAAACTCTCAGACTCCTCACTAAATACTAAAAATTGACTAGAGGTATCTCTTTAATACTAGTCTCAGTAATAGACTAGCATTCTCATAGGAACATCACTGAATAGAGAGTAAGGTCTTTCTTTCAATATTCATTGGCTGTGTATCCCCTTTCCTCCTGAAAACAAATTAAAACTGACAGGACGTGCAGACAGGAGCAGAGATAATTAGCCATTTGGTGGGTTAAAGTGGGAGAATTAAAAGTAGAGGGAGTAAACCACCATACGGAGAATAATAATTTCAATGAATGTTAAAATGTATCCTTCGGTTCATAAAAATAATGAAAGGCATAGGGAAGGTTACCTGAGCCCCTATTTCTATTTACCATAATCTAGAATGTTCCAGAGAGCCATAAAAGAGGCACCTTGAAAATTCATTTTTTTAAAACCAACACTTGACATCAAATTCCGAAACACATGAGTTCACATTAAGCAAAATTAAGCAGTTGGTTGACCAGCTCTGCTATAGTACTGCAGCCTACTGAACTGACAAAAATCATTTATTTTTTATGAAAAATAGTAGTTAGGGTTAAAAAAAAAAAAAACTAAAAAGAAATAATATCTTTGAATAACAGATTCCACAAATACACTAGCCAGTAATATTTCAGGCTGCTGGTTAAAATGCAGTCATGCCTTTTGCATTAAAACTGAGCCTTCAAAAAAGTTTACCTCTGCCGGGACCAGTTTGGTTCAGTGGATAGAGAGTCGGCCTGCGGACTGAAAGGTCCCAGGTTCGATTCTGGTCAAGGACATGTGCCTTGGTTGCAGGCACATCCCCAGTAGGGGGTGTGCAAGAGGCAGCTGGTCGATGTTTCTCTCTCATCGATGTTTCTAATTCTCTGTCCCTCTCAATTCCTCTCTATGTAAAATCAATAAAATATATTTTTTTAAAAAAGAAGTTTACTTCCACCAGCAGCATGTAGACAGGGAAAATATTACTTGAAAAGCTTCCTACTTTTTTATTATTATTATTTAGGTATTATATGTGTACATAGCTTACCTTTGCCCCCCCACTCCCATACATGCCCTCCCTCCCCAGAGTTTTGTGTCCATTGCTTATACTTACATGCATGCATACAAGTCCTTAGGCTGATCTCTTATCTCCCCCAGATCTCCCTACCCTCCCCGCTGTAATTTGACAGTCTGTTTGTTGTTTTACTGTCTTCGTATCTATCTGTTGGTTCATCAGTTCATAATGTTCTTTATTATCCATAAATGAGTGAGATCATAGCTTCCTACTTTTTATTTATTTATAAAAGAGAATGTTTTTTATAAACGACCCCCTCCCCTCCGGTTTCGGTGATTTTGTTTTTAATCAGGAAAGCCTCAGGCATCCATTTGAAATAAAAGTCATCGCGTGGCGAGGGAGTTAGAGAAGTTCCCTGTCAGAGGGCAGTAAGCGGACCTTGGGGGACCTGTTCGGTGAAATACTTCGCTCTTCAAGGTCCCGGCAGCAGCTCAGAACCCTGTTCCCTTCCCCAGCGAGCCTTCTTTGACCAAAAGTCCCACCACTGCTGATTACACTCTGGCCCGTAGGTAACGAGTGAAGGACCCTTTATCACAAATACGATATTTTAATGCTTTACTTTTCAGATGGTAACACGATAGCTGCTCAATCTCAGTAACCAGTATCAGGGCTGGTGACCACAAACGAGGCCTATTATATTTCACTCAGAGACTCCAGTCCTAATGTGTGGTTAGAAAACTGAGGTCCTACTTTCAAGGATGCATGAGATTAAAAAATATTTTTTTGGTTAATTCTCACCCGAGGATATTTTTATTTTCCCATTGATTTTTAGAGAGAGTGGAAGGGAGGGGTAGAGAACAAGAGAGCGAAACATCAATGTGAGAGAGAGAGTTCAATCGATAGCCTCCCGCATGTGCCTAGACCAGGCTGAGAAGTGAGCCTGCAACTGAGGTACTAGAATCAAACCCATGTCCCTTCAGTCCAAGGGCCAATGCTCTAATCACTAAGCAAAACCGGTGAGGGCTCATGGATAGAAATTCTAATCTCCTCCGTTCTACAACCCCACAGAATACTAGATATTAATTTTTATATTGAAAGAAAACCCTTAATGCAAAATAAGGGAGTTTCCATGGCCAATATACTGCTAACCAAGTATTTTCAAAAGATCCACAAAAAATACATCAGACACTGGAGTACTATAGATTTACTATCAGTTTGGAGGAAACTACCCAGCTGGCAGCTTATACCAGAGACCAATAATCACAGTTAAAATATTACAGCTCCAAGGGATTTTCCCACCTCAATGTCAGATCGTGATCTCGCTGCCTTAGTGACAAGGACCAAAACAGTCCCCGAATGAATCCAAAGCACGAACACAGGTCCAGTAAAAATCAGTAAATTTCATTTGGGATCATGGCATACAGTGGCACAGGGCAGCGGGTTCAATTTCCTTCCTGTACACATTTCAGTCCAGTGACCTATTTGCTAATTCGCGTATGAAGTGCAGCACTGGCGAGCCAGTGGCGAGGCCTTGGGGACAGCCACTCTCCCGGCCGCTCTGATAAGCACTTCAGGGGCACAGGGCTGATCCGCTGGGCACAGATGTCCTCAGACTGCAAATGCAATTACCTGTAGAGCTATCAGGAGGCAGCGGCCGAGGGGAGTCTGGTTGCGTGGCTCCCTCAAGGACACGCTGAAGTAATGTGAAATGGGTATCTCGGGCCAGGACCTGAGGCTGCTGTCAGACCACACTGACACGCAAAGCAGGGCTGACCTCCACTGGGGAACCACATTTGCAAATAAGGTCAGGCCCTACAGAGACAGTGACAGCGGCCACTTTACTAAATTCATTTTCATTAACGAACTTTAGGTTCAGTCCTACTGATGCAGCATATGAATAATGATACCTCTGCAATAACTTTTAGCCAAGACAATTGTAAATGATGTGATTTAGGCATTCGATCCAACTTCTTAATTAAATGCATGTCTTCATTAATTGCCGATTAAATGCATTAAGTAATGAAATCAAAGATCTGTGATTTAAGAAGACAGTTGAGCGTGAGTGGGGGCAATGGAAATATATGTACACATATAATACCTTAAAAAAAGAAAAAGAAAAAAAGAAAAGAAAAAGACAGTTGATTCCTATTATACCATTGCTAGCTATTTATTATATGGATTAGGATATGGATAAGATCAAACTGCTTCTCAAAAAATATAATGATTAATGTCCGGGTGGAAAACCTCTGACTGTGGCTTAATTCATTCAGACCAGAACAGACTTTGAGAAATTAAAAACCAGTTGGCTGCTTCTACCTACTGCAGTTAAGGTGAACAAATAAACTCAGCAATCCTCCCCAAACAGGCACTCTCATTTGCTGCTGGTAGAGGTGTGAATAGATATGATAGGTACATATTTACACCAAAATATGTAACAAAATGTAACTGACACATATCCTGTGACCCTGCAATCCCAGTCTTTAAAATATACCTGGAGATTATTAAATATGGAAAATAAGGCATGTGCAAAGTTGTTCAATACTATGTAGCAAACGAGTAGGTACAACTTGAATATTCACTGATATGTGACTGGTTAAATAGGAAACACCCACCCCACTGAACATTATGTAGTCTTAAAAAGAACGGAGGAGCCGAAACCAGTTTGGCTCAATGAATAGAGCATTGGTCTGCGGACTGAAGGGTCCCAGGTTCGATTCCGGCCAAAGGCATGTACGTTGGTTGCAGGCACATTCCCAGTAGGGGATGTGCGAGAAGCAGCCAATTGATGATTCTCTCTCATCGATGTTTCTAACTCTCTATCCCTCTCTCTTCCTCTCTGTAAAGAATCAATAAAATATATTTTAAAAAAAAAAAAGAACGGAAGAGACTTTTTATATGCTGAC